ATTGTGTGTTGATGCAGAAGAGATGGTGAAGGAAATCACACCGGGATACTATGATGATGTCATCACTGATGGACTGAAACCAGATCGTGAGACAGGTGTCACCCTGATATTCTACAGCAGCATTTAAATTAAAATATTACAGTATATTTAAGATAGATATTTCAAATTTGTTCTGAATGTAATGAATGTGTGTGTCTGTGATGAATGTGTGAATCTGTAGAAGACATACCTGAGAGCTATGATGATGTCATGACGAGCGGACACAACGCTGAGATCAAAAAAGGTGTTTTACGATTTTATCAACTTTTTAAAATAATATTCCTCTAAAATCAAATCATTACAGATAATATTTTAAATTACTGTGTTAATATTTTATTTATTTATTTTTTGTTTTGGCTCATTTAATTTGGACTCATTTGCATGTGTAGTGAACACACCAGAGAATTATGATGATGTCATCATTAATAGACTGAACTCTCAAGGTGTAACAGGTGAGATGCACAGAACTACATGTTTATCACCCTTTGCATGTTTAGATGAGTATTAGACATTTGTTCAAGTCACTTAAAGGAAAAGGGATAGATATTCGTTCTGTGTCATCAAGTCACATACAGAAAAAGAGATCCTTCAAATGATAAAGTGTTTTATAAACTGAAATGACATGTTTTTCTGTCATTCTCGATCAGAGAGAGTTCAGGAGGAGTATGATGATGTGATGAGTGTCAGTGAAGATGTGAGAAACCTGCTGGGTAAGTTACTGTAACCCTTTTGTTCTCATTATATTAACATCTTTATTTATATTGTAATATTTTAAATAATTTTCCATTTTTAGACTTTTAAAATATTCTTCTAATTATATTATTTGACGTGGTTTTTTATTTTGTTCTTAATAACAGATTATGATGATGTGGAGGAGGAGTCAAAAAAAGAAGGGGGGCATTTGGCTCAGTGATCATCCATTGCCTCTGTTCAACAAATCTGCACAAAGTTTGAGTGATATTGTTATTGATATGTCAAATCTCAGGTTTTTATATTTCCCCCCCATTTTTGTATTAAACGTTTTTTTAATTTGCCTTTGTGAGATTTTGTTGTATTATTTTTTTTGGCCTTGTTAATATCAATAAAAACATTTCAGACAAATTTTTGTGTGTATTTAAGTAAGACATTACACAACAAAGCACAAGCAACACATTCGAAGACATTCTAAATATAAACCCAAATTACCATCAGTGATTTCACATCCCTCAGCATCACTGCAGCAAGTACTGGAGTTTTGTGAGTGATAAATGGGGAAGAAAATATCTAACTTAATAAATACACATATTGCTTGCCTATTGGGCGTTTTACTTTTATGCATCATTTACCAGGCTATAGAAGTGTTACGTGTACAACCTGTAACATGTTTAAAATGCATATTTCTTCTCAATAAACCACATGAATCACTTTATAACAATATATTATTAATTAATAATGCTTCACAACAGAACATTAATAATATATAAACAATATAAAATAAGCGCAGAGCTGCCTGTTGTGTGACGTCATCTATGTACATGTGTTGCAGTCATAAATGAACCCACTGAATGTCCTGCTACTTTTTGGTGCTTTTAAAATCAGAGAAACTTAATGAGAGCTTCTTTGCTGCTGACAAACAATAGTATGTAGTTGCAGGTTTTATTTTGGTTGATTGTAGGTAAGTATCCACCTCACAGACTGCCAATTTTGTTATCTCTATGTTAATACAGTCACTGGCAACTTCAGCTGCTTGTTAGTGCAAATATCTAATCAGCCAATCATTTAGGCATGTAGACATGGTTAAGAGAATCTGCTGAAGTTCAAACCAAGCATCAGAATGGGGAAGAAACGTGATATAAGTGACTTTGAACGTGGAATGGTTGTTGGTGGCAGACAGGCTGGTCTGAGTATTTCAGAAACTGCTGATCTACTGGGATTTTCACACATAACCATCTCTAGGGTTTACAAAGAATGGTCCAAAAAATACAAAATATCCAGTGAGTGGCAATTCTGTGGGTGAAAATGCCTTGTTGATGCCAGAGGAGAATGTCCAAACTGGTTAGGGCTGATAGAAAGGCAAGAATAACTCAAATAACCAGTCATTACAACCAAGGTAAGCAGAAGAGCATCTCTGACTGCACAACACATCGAAGCAGATGGGCTACAGCAGCAGAAGACCACACTGGATGCCATTCCTGTCAGCTAAGAACAGGAAACTGAGGCTACAAGTTGCACAGGCTCACCAAAATCAGCCAACAGAAGATTGGGAAAAGGTTGCCTGGTCTGATGAATTTCGATTTCTGTTGCACCATTCGGATGGTAGGGTCAGAAATTGGTGTAAACAGCATGACATCTATCCTGCTTTCCAATGGTTCAGTCTGCTGTAATGGTGTGGATTACGTTTTCTTAGCACACTTTGGACCCCTGAGTACCAATTGAGCATTGTTTAAATCCCACAGCCTACCTGAGTATCATTGCTGGCCATGTTCATCCCATTATGACCACAGTGTCATCTCGGTGCCTGTCCAAATACCCAAACTTGCAGTCTTTGCACTTGACAACTTGTCTACTTACATGATGTATTTCTTGTACTTGTTCCAAGTGTTCAAGTGGGTGAGGACACCACAAGTGTGTGTAACTTTTCATTAAAACTTTTCAATGGAACACATGTATATTGCTATAAAAATGCAAATGTTTACAGAGCTTTATTTTGATTTTCAATATCTTGCATTTTAAAATAAACTTCTAAATCTCTGTTCAGTCATCCCTATAACAGAGAACACAATTTAGTAATTGTGGTGCTTCTAATTAAGCAATAAAAACAGTTGTAAATGATGTACGTAATACACATACTCATCTTTGTTCCAATAAAATGTAAAACACTTTATGTTTTACTACCAAATTATATGTAATATCTAATTATGTTAACTTACAGTGGAATGTTTTCCTCCATTTCACGATTTCGGGGCACAAGTTCCTGAACATGATACATGATGGGATACGCTAAGTCTTGAATACCGCTTTGGAGCGGAGTCGTGTTGGGTTTAGTGTTAAGGGGACTGAGCTTTGACATTTTAGGGGTGCTCGCAGCTCTCTCTGTTGTTCAAAATAATGACTACATGATTGCTCTGATTACCAACAGCAGTAGCGGTACACTAACCATCAAGTGTTTGGGGCCATATGAGAAATATCACTCTCACTGCTACAGTGTATTTACATCATTCTGTCACTATGAGTGTTAGAATAAATTATAGCAGCAGACAAAAAGTAAAATCAATGTGCTGTGAAATGAGCTCTACATGAAATAAATTAGATTTGTAGCTGAAATGTAGCTGTGAACAAATAAGTGAACATTTTCTGTCTGGGAAAAAAGTGAGAAGCTCCCTCATGTGGTGACACAAGGATAAGTCTCTTGTCTGCTCCTCTTTACAAAAAGAAGTGTTTTGCTCCCATCTGCTGGACGAATTACACATTGCAGTGTTAAAGACATACAAATGTCTTTGATATGATGGCAAATCAATATCTTTAGAACAGAAAACAATGTTTATTTACAAAACTTGTCTGAATAGCCTTCTGCTGTTGTAAACAATCAGTCCAGTTCATTTGATAATGTATTAACATACTGTTTATTGTGCTCTTGATTAGAACATCATAATGGTAAAGTAAAATCCACCTAACATTATACACATTTGTTTCTAAAAATAACTTAAATGTTCAGTTTATTTTAATTTATAAATTTATAGCAAAAATCAACTATTTTAAAATAAAGTTTCAGTAAGTGAGCAGTCAGTCATCAGTGCTTGTATCTGCTGTGCTCAGGTTCAGGTTTTGATGCTGAATATAAGCTGCAGTGTTTCTGTATCAATCTGCTTTAAGTTAAGTGTGACTTTATCTCCACACTGACTTATGACTGACACGAGTCTGTCCACAGTGAAGTGTCTCTTCACGCTGGAGGAGGAGTCCCGCTCATCAGCGCTCACATTTTATTGATATATATGGAGAAAATAAAAATGCTGCTTTCTGATTTGTCACTGATTGTGTTTGATGATTTCCTCTGTTGTGTCTAATAAGGTAAGAGTGAGTGTCATTGGCAGCTGTGAGTCTCTCTCTCTCTTTAGGGGGCTGACAGACGCTGGAGGAGGAGTCCCGCTCATCAGCGCTCACATTTTATTGATATATATGGAGAAAATAAAAATGCTGCTTTCTGATTTGTCACTGATTGTGTTTGATGATTTCCTCTGTTCTGTCTAATAAGGTAACAGTGAGTGTCATTGGCAGCTGTGAGTCTCTCTCTCTCTTTAGGGGGCTGACAGGAGCCAGTTTCTTCAGTGTGTTTGAGGGAGCAGAGCAGAAACTTGTGCTGACAGTCAAACAGACAGTGAGACGAGCAGAAAATGATGGAGGGATGTCTGACACTCGTTTTACTCTCCTCTATAATCACTCTAACCACATCTGGTAAGTACACAAATGGACAGTAAATAGTTTAATTTATATGTGTGTTTAAATGAGCAGTTAATCTATGATGGACTCATATCACTAGAAAGTGAATAGATGTCTGTGCAATATCTAGAAAATAAGATCTTGTTACTAATCACTAATCATTAATTAAGAATTACATTTTATGAATGATTTGAGCTTTTACATGCATCCAATTTAATGATAAGATTATTTGTCATTTTTTTCTTTTACAGCATTAGTTGTACAGTTTGAATTTACTACATTTTTTTGTATCTTGATTTTGCTGGAATCTGCTTATGATTCTGTTTTACTGCTACTGTTATTAAATCTCTTTATCTCTCTTTTATGCACAGATTTTGAGACTGTTAGGTTGGTTGGTGGTAACAGTCCCTGCAGTGGTAGAGTGGAGGTTCATCGTGATGGTCAGTGGGGAACAGTGTGTGGTGATGACTGGGATATGACTGATGCTAAAGTGGTGTGTAGAGAGCTGGGATGTGGAGAGGCTGTTGAGGCTCTGGGTGGTGCTCGTTTTGGACAAGGATCAGGACCAATCTGGATGGATGATGTGGACTGTAGCGGATCAGAGTCCACACTGAAGGACTGTACATCATTAGGATGGGGTGTTAATAACTGTGGTCATCATGAAGATGCTGGAGTCAAATGCTCAGGTGAGCTGCTCCATACATCACCCTGTTAATGCATCACTGATCAAACTTTCTTATATGCAGTTTAAAATAATTGTGTATAATTTGTTTTCAGAGAAATTCATATACATTGAATTGATAATTAGCATATTTTATGGTCTAAACTACTCACTTTCATCCTTTTAAAAAATCAGTTAAAGGACTTGCTTCTTGTTTTATGCCTGTATCATAATCAAAGTGACAGATGGTCTTCTCTGTTGTGTAAATAAAATCAGAAACTATAAACTACGGAAGGTCAAGACTTGTGGACGGGTCTCACCTGTGCTCTGGAAGAGTGAAGATGTATTTTGGAGGACGATGGGGTTCAGTGTGTGACGCTGCCTTTGACCAGCAGGATGCAGAGGTTGTGTGTAGAGAGCTGGACTGTGGGGCTCCTGTACAGGTGCTGGGAGCAGCTGCTTTTGGCAAAGGAGACGCTCAGATGTGGACACAAGAGATTCAGTGCAGAGGAGACGAATCACACATTCAACGCTGTCCATCATCAACCTCACATAAAATAAACTGCACCCATGAAAATGATGTTGGACTGATATGTTCCGGTAAAATGTTTAACCTGTTTCTTTAACAAATCCAATAGTTAAATATACTAAAATGTAATTGTTTGATCAGTAGCCTCGAGTGACTGTAAGTCACAAACTAAGTACATGAGAGTTACTCAGATTATCTCTATTCTCTTACTTAGAATCTCAATAAACTCTGTGTTCTTTCTCCAGGTTACACTGATCTCAGGCTGGTAAACGGTTCAGACTCTTGTTCTGGAAGAGTGGAGCTTCAGTTCCTCAGTAAATGGGGCACAGTGTGTGATGCATGCTGGGATATGAGAGCTGCCAGTGTCCTCTGTAGACAGCTGAATTGTGGGATTGCTGTGTCTGTTGTGGGATCAGACTGGTTTGGAGAGGGAAGTGATCTCCAAAGGGCTGATGTGTTTGATTGTGACGGGAATGAAACAAAGCTCTCAGAATGTTCCATCTCTTCATGGAGTCGAGCTGAATGTTCTCATAGTCGAGATGTTGGAGTCATCTGCTCTAGTGAGTCCATATTACTGTAACATTTACTGACATAAGGGCCGTAGCTGGGGTTTGCGGGGCCCCAGTGCAGGTTGTACCAGTGGGCCCGTTTGAAATTGTTTAATTTGTATGTTCGTTCTATTTATTTATTTGTGCTATTTACACAATGTTTACGTTTTTTCAAGATTGTAGGTGTCCAGGTACAGAAACCGAATAATCAAATGTAAAATAGCACTGCATAGTCTTCACTGTAAAAATTAAATATACAGTCAAACCAAAATTTATTCAGACACCTTCAACATTTCTCACATTATCACAGTTTATTTGCTATAGTTTAGAAAATGGTAATAAAATATGACAAGAACTCCGAGTTAAACTGTGTCAGAACAAATTCATCTTGATAATGTCAGATAACTTTGATAGAAAGGTATGTAATGGATTACAATCAACCAAAAATTCAGACAACTCTTAGTATGACAATATTTACACAACTATCAATACTGTCACAATTTACTGGAGCGAGGGAACGAGGAGACGTAGAATAAACTTCAACAATCTTTAATAATAATCCAAAAATAGGAACAACTTCAGGAGCACAAAACAAAACACACAGAACAGTCCTTGGACGTGACAAATACTTTGTTGACCAATTACCAAGCAATGCTTAATTTTGTTTAGTCTTTAGCAATTAAAGAAAGAACACTTAAGCAAAACATGGTCAGGTCAAAGTGTGAATAATTTTTGGTCCCAATTTTTTGTTTTTTTATAAATGTTACTGGTAGTCCACTGTATGAAGAATTTTTAGGTATAATATGTCACAGTTTACTTTATTTATACTCACTTACATAAATGATCTAGCCTGTAGTGTCCTGCACCCATAGAAAAAAAATCAAAAATTATATCTGGTGTCTGAATAATTCTTGGTTTGACTGTGGATTAATTTGCAGTTTGTAGATTAGGCGCGGTCACTTTAAGAGACAATGCACCCATTATAATGATACACATCCGATTTCTTCTCCACTCTTTACTTTCACTTTAGACATAACCGACAGTTTTTTCGAGGATACTCTACAAGACAGGTATTTTGACAATTTTGTATGTATTTGACGGTACAAGAGCAAGAAGAGGCAAATTCGGTGTTCAAGCGATTTGAGACGCGTCTCTCTGCGTGCGCCCTGTGCGCACAGAATTGGTCTCTTTCACATCTTTTTCTATTTGCATGTTTAAACTGCGATTTGTATTTGTTCGTTCAGGTGCAGGAGGACGCGAAGGAGAGCTCGGTTCGGTGTTGCTGTCCCTGAGACGCGACATAACCGACAGTTTTTTCGAGGATACTCTCCAAGACAGGTATTTTGATATAATTGTGTATGTATTTGTTGTTGGTACAAGAGCAAGAAGAGGCACATTCGGTGTTCAAGCGCGTTGAGACGCGTCTCTCTGCGTGCGCACAAAACACCGCGCGCATGTGCTGAATTGGGCTCTTTCACGTCTTTTTCGGTTTGCATGTTTAAACTGCGATTTGTATTTGTTCGTTCAGGTGCAGGAGTACGCGAAGGAGAGCTCGTTTCGGTGTTGCTGTCCGTGAGACGCGGCTCTCTGCGCTCTCTTAACACGGCGCGCGAGTAGTCAGTTGAGTTTTTCCGCGTCTTGTGTTTGAATGCTTTAAAACTATTTTGAATGTTTAAATTGGCAAGGCTTAAAAACACGTGCAAATGAACGAGGAGCAGCAGTGTCCCGTCATCTGTCCTAAGCGTCTATTTAGGCTGGCCTCAACCAGTCGGTTGAGATCGCCGAGGGCCCCCCCTTAGCCGTGGGCCCCTATAATTGTCACCACCTTTCACCCCACTAGCGACGGCCCTGAGCATGAATGGTATATGAGTGGAGCGCTCGACTGAGCGGAGCGCACACGCATAGAGTGGGATAATACTCAGAGCGTAACACCATTTTAGGCTGGCCTCAGCCAATCGGTTGAGATCCCCCCCCAGCCAGGGGCCCCTAAAATTGTCACCACCTTTCACCCCACTACCGATGGCCCTGACTGACATTATGCTAATAGTAAACTTTATTCGAAATACAATATTTATTCCCTATACATTTCAGAATGATGATTTATGCTTGTGTCATTTAAGTTTCGAATTTACTTATATAAAGTATAATATTGATATAAAACATATTTATTATATAAATGTTCCTCTGTGGTCATTAACACATTTGCAGTATTTTAGTAAAATGTCAGATCTTTCACTC